GGCCCTGGTGTGTGATGTTCCCCTTCCCGAGTCCAAGTGATCTCATTGTTCAGTTCCCACCTATGAGTGAGAACATGCGGTGTTTGGTTTTCTGTTCTTGTGATAGTTTGCTAAGAATGATGGTTTCCAGCTGCATCCATGTCCCTACAAAGGACACAAACTTATCCTTTTTTATGGCTGCATAGTATTCCATGGTGTATATGTGCCACATTTTCTTAATCCAGTCTGTCACTGATGGACATCTGGGTTGATTCCAAGTCTTTGCTATTGTGAATAGTGCCTTACAATGTGGAAACTAAACCTTTGAGAAGTTGTGTAACTGCCCCCAGGCCACATAGTGGGTAAGAGGAGGCACTTGGGTTTGAATCAAGTTTGTCTGACTTCTCAAGTTACAGGTAAAGATAGGGAAGATGAAACACAGACAGTCCAGTACCTCCTCATTTCTTGAAACAAGCATGAGCTGTCCATTAGCCCATCACTACCTACCACCACCTCTGTTACAAGTTGAAAAGAGTAAATTACATCAGTTCAGGGGTGTGTGTGTGTGTGTGTGTGTGTGTGTGTGAGCTATTACTTAAAATCTATGTTGAATATTCTAATTAATTTAGGAAACAATGTTTAAAAAGAAGCTAAATTATTAGTTTCCCCTCAAAGCTTCCTAAAGGACCTTTATGAGAAATAATTCAAGAGATTCAGAGGATTAAGAGACTACTATATTTAAAGTACCCCTATAATATAATATTGAATATAACTCTGAAGAGAGTTTTTTTTTTTCCTAAAATCTCTGCACCATCATGTGAAGAAAGATTAATGTCCCAAGATGCCCAATGTAAAGAAGAGTTGGTATGAGTGGAGCTTAAGTATCCTTATACATTTCGAAAACTACGCTCTGGGAGAAGAACTTGACTTGGAAGTTAGAGGGAAGCACATTTCACTTCAGTCTTAGGTAGAATTTTCTGTCAACCAGAACTGTACAATCATGGAATGGGCTGTCTCAAAAACTCACCCACTCTCTGTCACCACAGGCATTTGTGCAAAGGGTGGACAGCAGTCAGAGATGCCTGGGGAGAGATCCCAATAATGGAGGAAAATGAATGGATAACAATTGTAGTCATGGGAAATTTTTATTTTACATGGAATAAATGCTGCTTAAGCCACTTAACAAAGTGAGTCATGGATTTTAATAAATTTTAGTGTATTTTAGAATCTATTATCTACAAAAGATGGCAAAAGGGGAAATATACCTTAAGAAAGGAAAAAAAGCTAATCTGGTAAACATACATTTGGAAGTACATTAAGGATTGTTCTGTAGGTAAATGGAATCTATAAAGAGATCTTATATTTTGGAAAATGCTGTAGAAGCGTCAAAAAAATCCTAAAAATGTTATAGCTCTAATTTAAGTGAAGTTAAAAGGAAGAAACAGGAAAAGTATGTTTTTTGACAAAAATGATAAATTGCCATAAAGTTCATAAGACAAATGATTTTTTGAAAAAAAGAAATAGTGGTTCTCGGTCTTTGAGGAATTGCCACACTGTCTTCCACAATGATTGAACTAATTTACCAACAGTGTAAAAGCGTTCCTGTTTCTTCACAGCCTCGCCAGCATCTGTTGTTTCTTGACCTTTTGATACTTGTCATTCTGACTGTTGTGAGATGGTATCTCATTGTGGTTTTGATTTGCAGTTTTCCATTGATCAGTGATGTTGAGCTTTTTTCCATATGTTTGTTGGCTTCATGAATGTCTTCTTTTGAGAAGTGTCTGTTCGTGTTCTTTGCCGCCTTTTTAATGGGGTTGTTTTTTTCTTATAAATTTGCTTAAGTTCCTTGTAGACTCTGGATATTAGACCTTTGTCAGGTGGATAGATTGCAAAAATTTTCTCTCATTCTGTAGGTTGCCTGTTTGTTATGATAGTTTCTTTTGCTGTGCAGAAGCTCTTTAGTTAATTAGATGCCATTTGTCAATTTTTGCTTTTGTTGCAATCGCTTTTGACATGTTCATCATGAAATCTTAGCCTGTGCCTATGTCCTAAATGGTATTGCCTAGATTATCTTCCAGGTTTTTTATAGTTTTGGGTTTCACATTTAAGTATTTTATCTACCACAATCCCATTACTTGTATGTATCCCCCAAAATATAAATCATTTTATTTTAAAGATAATGTACACATATGTTCATTGCAGCACTACTCACAATAGCAAAGACATGGAATCAACCCAAATGTACATCAATGATGGACTAGATAAAGAAAATGTGGTGCATACACACCATGGAATACTATGCAGCCATAAAAAGGAACGAGATCATGTCCTTTGCAGTGTCATAGATGGAGCTGGAAACCATTATCTTCAGCAAATTGACATAGGAACAGAAAACCAAACACCACTATGTTCTCATTTATAAGTGGGAGCGAAACAATGAGAACACATGGACACAGGGAGGGGAACAACACATACGGGGGGGCTGTTGCAGGAGGAGAGCATTAGGATAAATAGCTAATGCATGTGGGGCTTAACTAGGTGATAGACTGACAGTGCAGAAAAGCACCATAGCACACATTTACCTGTGTAACAAACCTGCACATCCTGCACATGTATACTGGAACTTAAAGTAAAATAAAATATTTAAGAAAGAAAAATCAAAGCACAACAAAATTAATAAAAGAGGCCAATCATTAAGCAAGCAAGATGTTAGTATTAAGATTACAAAACACTGAAGCAAATGTCTACAAAGGCTCACCATTGGGCTCACCAAAGGCTTATGTGGTTTTTCCCCTGGATGCTTAAGTATCATCTTTCTGCACTAGATGCACTATATCCATATATTAGAGCCTGAAAATATATGTACAGTTGATGTCCAGATACCTATGAATTTTAATGTTGCAATAATAAACTCTGAAAAATTACATTGCAGCACTTTTTTTAAATGTTGTTTGCAGAAAACACTTCTCAGAGGGAGGCTTTTGAGTTCTCTGTACTACCCGGTCACTGTGTCGTTTCCTTTCTGTTTTCTTAGGTTTTCATGGGTCAGTTCCTTTTATATCCAAAAGATATAAAGAAGACAGTGTGCAAGTGGTACAATACTATATGGAGGGTGCCATGATTTTTTTTTTTTTTTTTCGAGACAGAATCTCGCTCTGTCGCCCAGGCTGGAGTGCAGTGGCACGATCTCGGCTCACTGCAAGCTCCGGACCCGGGTTTACGCCATTCTGCCTCAGCCTCCCGTGTAGCTGGGACTACAGGTGCCCGCCACCATGCCCAGCTAATTTTTTTTTTTTTTATTGTAGTTTTAGTAGAGACGGGGTTTCACCGTGTTAGCCAGGATGGTCTTGATCTCCTGACCTCGTGATCTGCCCGTCTCGGCCTCTCAAAGTGCTGGGATTACAGGCGGGAGCCACCGCGCCCGGCCGCCATGATTTTTTTTAAGAGAAGGAACGTGGTTTTCAAAAGAAAGAATTCAGAAGGTCTATACAATGGCCCCCTTGTTAGTATTGAGAATGAGCTCAAATTTCATCGTGATTCTTTGGTTTAGTATCCTTTACACAGAAAATAAAAAGGGAAGATAATCAGTGGGGACTGGGCTTTTCTGTAGCATGGGAGAGAATTAGAGTTGGTTCAAAGGCAGGCTTTGGAATAGAGAAATCTGATATGCCCCGCTTGCTATTTTTTAGGATACTGAAAGCTCGTATGACTATGTCAGAGTTTCAAGCTGCTAGAATTTGTTCTGCAGATGTGTAGACAACCACATTCATAAGATTTATAGGTAAGCACTTTGAATTTGTGAGGTGCTAATATCTGGGGCTGGGCTTGCTCTTCTGCATTTTTTTCCTCATTAGACTTCTCTCTAAAACTGGGGAAGGGATCTTCTATGTGAAAATATAATTTCTTCAAAGTAGAGAGGAGGGTCTTGAAAACCCTTCTTTAGATGTTTTGATAGCAAACAGTTCTGGCACAAAGCACCCCAATGATGGGAGAAAAACCGCCTCTCATGCACTGTCATCCTTCTTTGATCTTTACCTCTTTTGCAGTGTAATCTCCAAATCAATTCCCTGAAGGTTTTGTGCTTTTCTCCTCTAATTGGCATTAGAGAGGGCTGTGAATCCTCCTACTTCCTCACTCTGCATAGTTTCTAATGTTCTCTTTGACCAAAGTTATTCAGTAAAATTAAAGGGGATAGGAGAATCAAAGGCCATGTGTTTTCAGAATGATGCTGTCATTTTTGTGGGGTCCTTACCATTTTGAAATAGTTCAGGGCAGGGGGTTGGCAATTGTGCAGTTTTTCAGCATTTTCGTGGAGCAGAGATCTCACCACCTCAACAGAACCACTTAAGGGCATTCGTTTAAAAGCTTAGAAAGGCTGGAGCCTTCCTCACTAAAGGCAGCGTCTTGCAACCTGATGAATACCACACTGCGTGAGGAAACCCATGCTGCCCTTGCAGTCTCCCACCTTCCTCTTTCCGCATTTATTAAACTCATGGTAACTCACAAGAAGCATTCAGTTTTAATTTGGCTTGCTTGACTTCATTACCTCCTACCATATGTATGCATGCTTAATGAAAATTGTCAGTGGGCTTCCAGCTCAGACTCAGCACATGCTACCCAGAAGATGGATCATGGTACATGTATTTAGTATATGCCAGGCACAGTTCTAAGTGCTTTGCCGATATTAGCTCATTTAGTCCTCACGTAGGCATGTGGGTTTATTTTAATCTCCATTGTATGGATAAGGACTCCAAGACACAAAGAAAGTAGGTAAATCTTCCAAGACTAGCTTCAAAATTGGAATTTGAACCATGCAGCTTGATTCCAGAATTCATGCTGTTAACTACTACATCAACATCAGACCAAAGTAATAATCTGAAAGAAATGCTGAGCATTTCTTCTTTGAAGTCTTTAACTCTTATGTAAGATTAAATTACCAAAAAACAGAGGCAGTGGTTTTATTCCTAGAGTACCTTTTGAAAGAAATAGGAGACAAGAGAAAGCTTGTCTTTACAGCCTAGTAGACTGGTTTCAATCCAGACTCCAGTTATACTAGTATGTTAGACTTGTTACTCATTTCTCTAGACCTCATTTGCTTAATCTGTGAGGTAAGGATATGACCATAACACCTACTCCATAAGGTTTCCATGGACATAAACCTATGCAATGCATTGTGCTAGGCGATACACGTGAGCCGTTAGTATTTTAATACTGCCTTCAATCCTTTGTGGAAATGGAATAGTAACAGAAAATGAGTCAACTGTGTATCAGATCGATTAAAGTGATATTGTTTGATAGAAGATAATCAGAGACATAAATTTTATTATACAAGGTAGGTCAATGATCTGTCTTCCACAGGTGAACTAGTTTTCTGCAATATCTTTCTTAAATTTGTGACACAAGACCATTGTGAGTGAAATGGTGCTGTAGCGCAGTGTGTCAGGTGTTGATTTCATGCTGGGGTGGGCCTGTGTTGTCCCAGTTCTGAATTACAGCAGTGTATCACATCTGCTTGCAGCGCTCCCAGTTCAGCTTCCGACTGCGTAATAGTCATGGAGCTGGGATTTACCAATCTCTTCAAGTTAATTAGAAATGGAAAATCAGCATAGTCATAGAGGAAAAAATAAATAAGATGGCGATGCTCCAAGGATGTGGGGATTCTCCCCGATAGGAGTTGTCAGGTCAACTGCTCCTACTGATGTCTGATGCCTGGGGGGAATGTGGGAGCCGAAGAGGGGTTGTGTCAGGAACTCCCTTCTCTTCTCATGCTCCCAACTTACCCTCTCTATGTGAAATTATCCAGTTTCTACCTTCAAATTGAAAAGCTGTCCTTTATTCTCTCTCTCACCACAGGAGTCCTAAAGACTATACATTCCAACTCAGCAACTATTTCATAAAGCCTCCTTAGAAAATGATGGGGGTGGAAACCCCACTTAAGGAAACTCCCTTTTTTATAGACAGCATCCCAGGTGGCACTTTAGGGGTTAAACTTGTGTTACAGAGAACGGGTATCAAGTGGCTTTCCAGGATATAACCCCCATTTAAAAACTGCCATCTCTAAAAGGTGAGCCAAATGCCCATTAGTTTACCCTGCTTTCTATGAAACGAACAACTCAGTGTGTTTGAGTTTGCTTCTGTCTCAGTGTCTATCATCTATACAATGAATTATCAGGATGAAGACTGTCAATCACGGTTAATAAAAACCTCAGAACACGACAAAGATCTCTTTTCCTATAGATGTATTTGATGATAGCCCTCACTTTATTATGTCACATAAATCAAAAAGGAAGCATTTATATCATTAGGAGGCACCCCTTCTCTCCCTGTGTCCTCGCCCCTCCCCCCGTGCCAGTTCGCAGTCCCTCAAAGATGCTTTGTGCAAGAAAGTGCAAGTTTCCCGTTCTGGCTTTATTTTTGTTCCCTTTTGCTCCCCTCCTGGCTCCCCCCAAAACCAGGCTAGCAAAGCAATGGCCCCGGTTCCCCCCCAACGCCTGACCTGCGTTTACTGGGAGGAGAGCGGGAGAGGGAGCGCGCATTCCGGAGCAGGCTGCTTTGACTCCGACCACAGGCTGTTTTGTGCAGGCTGTCCCTCTCCTTCAAAACCGTGCATCCCCTCCCCGAAGCAGCAGGCAGTGTGCCTCCATTCAGCCACATTTGGTATGCATGAGCACGGCTGCAGAGAGAGGGGAGGTGGCTTTCTTAAGAAGGTTCAGGGGCTCAGGCAAGGCTACTTGACTAGTCTTCCAAGTTCCAGGAAGCCTCTACCCTAATGGAATTTGCAGGTGTGGAGATGACCATGGGATGCCAGAGCCGTGGGGGACCGTTTATTTTCTAGGCATTGCTCAGGTTTTCAGTTTCTTGTTTTCCTGGTGGAATTTGGAAGGGGTCATGAATCAGGCTGATGCTCCTCGACCCCTAAACTGGACCATCCGGAAGCTGTGCCACGCAGCCTTTCTTCCATCTGTCAGACTTCTGAAGGTACTGTAACTTGCAGCCTTGAATGGCGCTAATTATGGTTTTCAGGTTTAAATACCCAACTTGGGGACTTGGGCTGGGACGCACCTTTGCGGGAGCCTAAATGCATGCAGTACTGGCTCTGTGGTCCGTGGCTGGAGAGAGGTTCTCAGTACTCCTCCCCTCCCCCCACGCCCCCCACCCACATCCCGTGGTGTCAGAGACAAGAGGCTGGTGCGAACCACACTTGAGAAGGAGATTTTGATCTCAGAGAATGGGCTACCTGGTGCTCCCCCACCCCTTTTAACCATTCCTAAAACAGAATTAATTAACTTCTTTGGGAGGGTGGGAATAGTAGTGGAAGTGAAATCTCTTACTCCCTTGTGTTTGGCTCCTGGGCTTTTCTTTCTCTCTCCCCGGGGAAGCCCTTCGACCCACTTTCCCTTTAAATGGAACCTGAGAGAACAAAGGATTCTCCTCATTAATTTAAAAGCTTTGTGTAGTTAGGTGGCCAGTCAGGTGAAGACGAACAAAGAAAGAGCCTCCTCAGATAGTGACTTTTTTGGTGCCCTTGTTTTTAGAAAAGGCATAAAAATGTGGGTCTCCGGAGTGGAATCAGTAGTGGGAAAGTATTGTTAAGCATATATTGTATGTCAGCTCTCTCTCTAGCTGTGAGTCACACAAAAGAATGGCACTACACCTGAGCAGGAATTGCCACCGTGTGTCTGCAGCGCTTCTCTTTCCAGAAGCACATGCATTAAAGATACTGAAAAAGTCCATACAATTGTGTACCAATCCACCTTCATGATCTTTCTTGTGGGGGTGGGGAGGAACACAAATTACATTTAAAGGTGCAGGAAACAGGTATTTTTGCCCAGCAAATAGAAGGTGGTAACACTTAATAGAGAAAAATGCATCTCTCTGATGTTCTATATCCATTTGAAGTTAAAAAAGGGAAAGTTCTTAACTCACTTTTCCTGAGTATATATGCCCTTTTGATTTAATGACCACTGGGCATTGAGTCCAGAGGGCTACAATGGAGAATTAATGAATTAGCCCTGAATACATTACACTTGCAGAATTTTGTTCTGAGGCTGTGTTCTGGTTAGGTTAGGTTTGATGTGGACAGTTAGTTCCATACAGCTAAGTGGTGCCTCACAACAGAGTATTACCCCTTGCCTGAGTTTTCCTTATCTTGTTAAACACCAACTGGTATTAACTTTCAACAAAGGCTGCCCTAAGTGCTGTTCAAACTCCCATCATATGGTTGTCATGGTGATGGCTTGCTTCCCTAGGGACTATTTAGGAGGAAAGGCAGGTTTGGGTATGGTTAGTAAAAGAGACTTTTCCTTGGATATGTGTGTTTTTGCTTTATTGGAACAACATGTGTGATAGGGCAAGAAAAAGAATGAGGCCAGAGAATTAACAAATCGTTGTACATTTTCTCCAGAATCACTAGTGAATCAAGAGTCGGGGCAAAGAATGGGCATATCTAAGTCTCACTGAAAAAATTCAACTGCAGTAATTCCATGTGCAATGAGAAATATTTTTTCAGTTAAAGTCATGTATCAGCTCTAAACCAAAATAATGCTTTTTAACTCTTCTTGACAGATACGTGACTATCACTCTCAATATATTATTAATTTATTCTAGTTTTTTAAAATGGAGAACGTTATTCATTTAATAGTCACAAAACCAGCAGAGAAGTACCTACCTGAGGTACTTCTTTTAGGAGAAGCTGTCTTTTTAGGAGAGCTCTGTCATCTTTTTTAACTGAAAGTACTGTCCATACTATCTATCAGGAGACATTGTTAATGCTACAGCAATACTTTCATTGGCATATAGCTCAATCTTACCCCATCCTTTATTAAGTGATGCTTTGTAATAATTTGTTGAATAAAATGCATTACTGTGTGTCCTTGTTTTTTCCATATCTAAAAGACAGGATGGAACCTTACTAGAGAACTTTTTTCCCAAATGACATCTGTATTTTTGAAAGATCATAGCTATCCTGTGAGACTTCAGATATTGAGCACATTTCAAACTCTTAAAGAAATAAAGTCATACCAAGTTCTTTCAGCAATACTTAGAAAGAAAAGCTGCTTTGGTATATGAGCAATTGTATTATCCACTCTCTGGCTGTGAATGCTATGTGTTCTTTTCCTCTGTATTGTGTTTGTCCTGTGTTTGCTTTGCTAGTTCCTGTGTATTCTTGCCCTGGTTTTATCTTTCGAGTAAAATGTAAGTTCATGAGTCATAATTTGCATATTTTGGTAAATGCTCTTTCTGGTTTAATCTAGAAATGAAATATTTAATAACAGTATTTCTTATGTCCCTTCCTTTATTTCTCCTCCCTCCCTTCCTCCCTCTTCTCTCTCTTATTCCACCTTCCTCCATACTACCACCACTATGTTAATTTGATGGATGGATTCTCTGGGAATCCAGTAGATTGTTGAAATCTTAAGGTAACAAAGCCAATTCTCCTATTCAACAGGTAATTTTTATTCCTCTTCCAAGCATTGTTCTGATATGACCTGCCCTCTCACAGTGCCCTACGTGTCAGTAAATGCAGTGTAGGTCCTGATGGCTTGATTAGATTTAGCTAAACTCTGATCAGTCACCATTTCTGACAGACTGGACTCAAGCCAATTTCCCTTTCTATCCTTTTCCTTAAAAATGTGTGTATCTTTGCTAACTTACTTTGGTACCATGTTAATATTTAGAAATGGCTTCATAATCCTATTTCCTTATTTTCCATTTCCTACTAGAAACAGGATACTACAGAATTAGAAGGGGAAGGCCAGTATCTGAAGCATGAATTAAACCCAATGAGCATTGGAATATACTTATTATTCCTCCTGAAAGCATCTCATTTGTTGTTTTGTCCATCTCAGAGCAAATTTTCAACATGCCAACAAACTCACATTTTGAATTTGGGGTTGCATTTGGAAATAAAACTTGGAAATGAATTTCTGGACAGGCACACAATGATGATAGCCAAAAGACAGAGCCTGTTTTCAAATGGGTAAATTTCAAATGGGACCCTTTCCAAATCATTTCTCTTCTGTTGTCGTTTGGTTTATTCTTATGTGTTTCAAGATTCCATCTTACTATTAATCACAAAAAAAGTCAAGTTTATGTCAGTGACAGAATGTTCTTAGCGTATTTCATATTCATTATCAGGTCTATCTTTGCCATTGTTTTATTTGGAAAATTTTATTTTGGTAACATATTGAATCTGAAGATTATTCTTAGGGCAGAGAGTTTTCTGTGTATTGAAGTCTTGGCGAACTTACTGAAGGGAAGGCTTCTGAAAAATGGGTTGCATTGGGAGAAAGGAAAGCACTGTATTTGTGACAGATTTTGGAAAGACATTTAAGTCAGTGTGTTAATGAAGCCCAAATTATTAGTATCATTTTTAAGACTTTCGGATTTTTATATTGAGAAATCATAAGACTTTGCTCACTTTAAGCGATGTCAGAAATATAATAAATTATATTCTGGAAAAGTCAACCTAGACATTGGGTCCTAATTCCATTGTGTTCCTAACCAGCTGTGTGACCTTGGGCAAATTACTTAATCTTTCTGTAACTTGATGTCTTCTTTAAAATGAAGGGTTTGGGTCTTGACTGGATTTAGATCCAATGTCCTCATTCCCTATGCTGAAGCCTGCTATGCTCCTTGGGCATCGAAGAATGTTGTCTATTTGGACTGAAAGAATTGAATATTAAAAGGGAAGAAGGAAATGGGTACAGTGAACAACAGTGTTTAAATCATATTAGGTTGGTGCAAAAGTAATCATATTAGGTTGGTGCAAAATGTTTTTAATGGCAAAAACCACGATTACATTTTCACCCACCTAATAGAAGACCTTGTCTGCTAAGCTACAGCATTAGACCATTATCTTGAAACTAGGGGGAAGGGGGAGGCAATTAAAAGAATTTTTGCAACGAGGTGACCACCAGATTTAGGTATTACATAGTTGCTCTGGCTGTAGTGTCTAGAATGGGTGAGATGATGCAACTGGAAGCTGAAAGATTACATTAGAGGCCTGGGGAATTGATGAGAACCTGGCTAAGGCAAAAGTAATGAAGGTAAAATAAACAGGGCCTTGCTAAATGGACTAGTTGTGGTGGAGAGAGGAATCTAGGATAACTTCTGAGTTTCTATCTTTGCTGTAGGGTTGGGTGGTGGTCTCAGCATCTAAGAATTAATATCCTGAGAAGGAAGTATGGCCATTCTCACTTTGCAGTTCCTCTTTTCATGGGCTAGAAAGGGAATTTCAGTTTTTGACTCTAGTAGGACTGACAAAAGTAAAGAAAATTATTGCTTATCTCACTCATCTCATTAATGAGGATGAGCCCCATTGAGTGTCCAAAAGCAGAATTCTTTGAAGTAAATAATAGTCAGTAATGTCACTGTATTTTTGTTATATACCCTGCCTTCTGATGAAACTATGCAGAGTTTTACATAGTAAATTCCCTTTTAATTTTTTTGGAATCTAGTCAAAAGCCCAAACTCTTACTTTTTATCCTTTCTCTTTTTAATACAGAAGTATTACTTAAAGTAGGTGACAGAAGAGAATTAATTGAAGCAGAAATGATCAAGTTAGGCAATCAGATCAGCACAGATTCCACCCAAGTGCTAATGTTTTACACGTCTATAATTCCATATAATGGTAACCAATGTTCATTCTATTGTCTGTGGAGCAAAGTAAGATCCAAATAACCAAATGTATTTGTTCTGTCTTCTATAGTTGATGTCAGACATTCCAGGAACTGACTTCCCTCTGGTGTTATCAAACTCTTCAAGGAATAATTACTTTGACATTTGTTTCCATTGTATTTTAAATTTATGACCTTCAAGTTGTCCCATTCACATCTAAAATTCTGAATCTTTACAAGGGAGGTAGAATAATGTCAATAAGCCAGAAACTTGGCTTAGCCCGGACAGGGTACTCCTGAGCCACATGCTAGGGAGCAACAGTTAAGTTTCCACCACAAGAGAGGAAATAGACACCCATTATGTCTAGGTGATTGGCGGATCCTGGCAAGCAAGGCCAGGAAATTTGTAATGGACTAATTCCATTAAGTGCCTTGAAGATGGGAAACTTGAAGAATAAACTGCTTTAGGAAAACATGGTGTATTGTTAGGCAGAATTTTAATGGCTACAAATAAAAGAAACTTCCCGTCTTTCCATCTCAGCCTGCCAGCCTCAGATTCCCTTAAAAAAAAAAAGTGAGAAAGAAAAGAATAGAAGAAAATGGGACCAAACTAGAACCCAGGAGAGAGGGAAAACTGTCTGGTGTGTATCAAATGGTGGCTTCGACTCAGGCTGCTGAACAGTGAACCATGTGACTTGCCTTTTTGTGAAATGTTCCTCAGGCAGCTTAAGGGAAATTCCTGAGGCAACAAGAAACCCTCCTGTCTCTCTGGAGAGTTCTGTCTCCTGATGACCTTTTTTGTGGAGGCAAGAATGAAAATGTGTGGTCACTGGGGAGTGAGGAGGAAATGGCTGGGACAGCCAAGTCCAGGGGCCACTGCACTCTGGGATGCTTGGAGGCACAGTAACGCCCCTGGCAAGGTCTGTCTCAAGGGAAAGGGCCCTGCCGTCCTGGCAGATGACTTCCTGCAGGGAGCCAGGACTCTGCCTACCCAGCAGAGGTTCCACACCCTCCCCTCTGCTCCTCTGCTGGTGTAACCTCAACTGGCTCCAAGTTAATTTTCAGATCATATTTTTTTCTCCCTTTCCATTATCTAGCATGAAAAAGAGTTTTACAGGCTGTGACCAACAAAACGTATTGAAAAAATGTTTAATGAATGGACAAACAAACACATGAAAGATATATGAAATACCAAGAATGCTTAGAACCACTTGGGGAGCTTGTGAGAAAAGCAAATAGTCAGGGCCCACTCTCGGAGGTGTTGACTGAGTAGGTAGGTGGTGGGTTCAGGAATTTGCATTTTCACAGTTCTGCCAGTGATTCTGAAGTCCAGAGATCTTGGAAGGACCCCACATTGAAAAACGCTGCCATAGATTCAGCTGAGCTGGATGGAAACTTAATTCAGCGGCCCCTCTGATGCTGGCATCTGGGAAGAACAGATTTTGTGTTAGTCGACAGTGGGAGCAAAAGGTTTTAAGAAACAGTTCTCAGGTTTTCAAAATGTAATCATGAAAGATCATTAACAGAAAGAGAAGTAAAATGAGTTCAGCTGCCCTGCTCTGAGTTCTAGATGATATAATCTGAAGTGTTTCTCCCTATTTCTTTTTATTTTCTGTTTATATGATCATTTCTCTGTATTTTTTTTCATGAAAATTTTTAGTCACATGATGTGAAATTTCAGAATTTTCTATGCTATTGAACTTATATGGAAATATGTGGTTGTGAATGAGAGCTCCTTAAAACAGTCTTCATGGTCAAGATTCTGGAATATCCTACATATGCCTCCTTTCTTTATTCCACTATAATGAATCACCCTTGGGCTTGCAGTGGTCACTCAAGGGCATGTCCCTTAGATTCCAAGGTATGTGATAGGCTCAAGTGAGAAGTGGCCGTTTCACTTGGGGGCAAAGGCCTAAGCAGCCATAAATGATGCCCATAACTCTACTCCCCCACCAAACCACCTCCACCCCACAACCTTCAAAAGCTAACCAACGATTCTGGACAGAAAGGAGGAAGAAGAGAATATTTAAGGCTTTCATTTGGAAAAGCTTAATTATATTTACAATTAATTTTATACTTGGGAAAATTTTTAAATGCTGCTTAATATTAAATATTTACTATGAAAAAATAGAGTGAACACAATTTTCCTGGCTCTTGAGCATGTGGCAAAGATACAGTGCTGTGACTGCTAGGGTGGGGTGTTTAGGTATAACAGAATCTCTAGGAAGGGCACACTTAGATTTTATGTTTATCACACAGAAGATTTGTGTTGAACAGTCTGTGGGAATTCTGATCTAACCATTGGTTCTTCTCTTCTTCATTTTCATTGAGACATGCATAGGAGTGGAAGTTTAGGGATAGCTTTGATCAGTTTTATTTCTTTTCCCCCAAATAAGTAAAGATTCTTCAAGGTTTAATGCATAGGTAGACAGACGATAGATAGATAGATAGATAGATAGATAGATAGATAGATAGATAGATAGATGGATGATAGATAAAATAGATTAAATAGATAACTGATAAGGAAGGTAGGAAGAATTCTTACATTTTACATATTGAATTGTCTTACCTGAAGAAAGTTTTATCCAACACAATGAATCCTTGAAGCAGTGTTTCTCAAAGTGTGATCCAAGACTATCTATGATAGACTCAGATGACAGTGACTTCACATAGACCTACTAAGTTAAGCCCCTGGGTGGACCTTGCAAACCTGCATTTCACAAACAGCCCAGATCAATGTTATGCACTTAACATTTGAGAATCTCTGCTTCTAAAGTGTAATGCTTTAGTGAAGAGATGTTGGCTCATTAAAATTAGGCCTCTGGCATGACCAGGCCTCAGTATCTGATTTTTGTAGTTAAAAATTGAGCACTCAGTATCTCTCTATATATTTATATAGGCTTAAAATGTGTCCACATCTTTAAAGTTCTCATACTCACAGAGCATTGAATGACTTTTATGATTATTTTTTAAGGGATCATGCAGGAAACCTAATTTAGATGCCAAAAATGTGTAGTAGATAGGTAGTATTCTGGATTCAAAGAAAATATGGCATGTCAGCCTCACTCTTTGTTTACTTTAGGAGACTATACACTTTCAAGATTAGAGGCAGAAAAACTTTGCAGCAGAGAAAACACATTAAGCGTTAACTGCTGCCCTAATCAAGTGGCCATTGCTGAATCAAACAAGCCTCCCTCTTATCTGCTCCTTTTCCTCTATACTATCTTCCAACTGCTAGGATCACCCATTCACCACATTGCCCAAACTGGAAAACCTGGGTTTGTGCCTTTTGCCTTGTTTTCTCCCATCCTTATGTAATTAGCCAATCAGTTCTGCCAGATTTCCTCATAAGTATATCTCTGTTCCACCCCCTTCTGTCTATTCCTAGTTCCCAAATTCAGTCTCTCTTTTTCTTGGGCCCAAAATACTACAGCTGCCTCCAGTGTTGTCTACTTCAAATCCATCCTTCCCACAGCCACCAGAATGGTCCATTTAAAATGCAAGTAAGACCAGGATGCTGCTGTGTTTGACATTCTTCAGTGATTCCTCGTCTCTTGCAGAATAAAGCCTAAGCTCTTTGGCATGGAATACAAGACCCAAGGTGATCTGGCCTCCGCCTACTTTGCTGCCTTCTTACCTTGTTTTTCCCCTCCTCAAATCACAGAATTCCATATAGCTGGATTTTTTGCACGACTTAATTCTACTGCCTGGAAAACCTGCACCAGACCTTCTCCTAGCTAACTCCTGCCCATATTTTAATGCTCAACATAGGTAAGTAGGATGAGTTCAGAAAAATTTCCCTGAATCCTCTAAGCTAGATAAAGCTCTCCTCTCCTGCATGTCCATAAACATCAGTGGGTATTTCTAGCTTTACTTTTAGCGTGTTGTGGTATTATTAGCTCTTCCAACTCATTATGAAAATCTTCTTGAAGTTGAGAGTCATATCTTGTTCAATTTGGTGCGTGTAGCATTTAGCAGAGCGCCTAGGATATCTTGGGTGCTAGATGAATTACATTTGAATAGGTAAATATTGGAGAAAATGAGTGACTGTGCTTTTGATTAGTGTTCTGAAGTTGCTAGAGGAACCAAATGATATTATAGGGGCTTGGTAATTTTTTTGTGTGTGATTAAAGAATGCCTTGAGCTTGAGATGATTTAGTTCATAGATTCCCCAAGTTGGAAGATTAGTTAGGGAGTTGAACCAATACTTCGCGCTCAGTGAAAGTGACACAGAATAAAATATGTACTCAAGGAAGAATCTATGTAGGTAGCACCAGATATCTGCTTTGATAACATTCACTGAAAGAGAAAGTGAGAGATAAAGATTATCTCATCTATTGATCATGTTGGAGAAAAGGCATTTCTTAATTTGTTGATCTAACATACTTTAATATATTTCCTTTAATATTATTGACTGGGTTACATTGTAAAATAGATAAAATAGTATTGGAAGAAAAACTGCACTGTTAAACTTGCTGGGGCCACCCTTGCTTTATCCTCTAAATATGCCTTTGGAAAATGTCTAGAGATAACTGTGTAGGCACTACCCAAATGAAATATTTTGGTGTTTCCATGTAAAGGTAAATGTGACTTAGGATTTATTTTTCTGTTAATCATAGATCATTTTATTATATCATGTATCATGGATCAAGGTCAAATAGGAATCTTAGCTGATCAGATTCCTACAGGGAAAAAATAGATCAGAGTCAAAATAGCTTTCTTATGGAAGAGATCAGAATTATTAGAAAATTATACTACTGCTTATTGGTTAATAATACATGTGGCTGGAAAGAAGGTAAATAACTATTTGCTGGCATAATCTCTGTGATAATCTTGCTAGAAGAAACTATTGGAAAGAAAGAGCTATCATACAGGCTTCCATAAGAAATATTTGCTCTTTTGTGCTAGTCCACAAATAAATGATGACTTGAACATTTAGGACCTGGCAGATAAATTTGCAGAATTGTTGAAAGCTTTGGGCTAGCCTAATGATGTTTCGTTAAAACAGGATTTCTCCGCCTCAACACTACTGACATTTGGGGCTGAATAAGTCTTTGTTGTGGGGGACATCTGTCCTGTGCTTTGTAAGACATTTATTGGTAACTAGGTTTCTATTGAAACATACCAGGAGCACCCCCCTGCCCCGCAATCCCCATTGTAAAAACCAAAATGTCTCCAGATATTGCCAAATATCCTTTGGCGGGGAGGGGCAAAATCACCCCTAGTTGGCAACACTGTTTAAACATTTCCCCTTGAAAATAGATATTTTAACAGTTGGGTACGTAATTGGTTTTGCTGGAATCCCAAGAGATACTTCCTAGTGATAGGAAGGGAATACTTCAACTTTAGACACACTTTCTTTTTCATTTTACAAGAAATTGAAATTTAACTTACAGTTGGGAAATTAACTGGTCCAGTTTTATTCACTAAACACAGACTAAGAAATCATTTTCTCATCTTATTGTCAATCATCTCTTGTAAGAGAATTGAATGTAACCAATTTGTCTGAAAGTGTTTAAATGTTCCATATATGTTGTTTTGTGAATCAAAAGTGGAGCATATTTTTCAGTTTGATTGATGGTATCCAGTGAAATGTTTAATTTTTACCATTATTTTGTTCTGTAATAACTTCTACTTAGAACTGCTTACGAATAATGTGGTATACATTTCATTTCAATGAATATCTCAAGACAAAATTTTTATGTGACATTAGCTCATGTGAGCAATCAAAGATTTTGAGACAAAATCTAGTCTTTTATACAAGCAAGCTGTATCATTTAAGGATGAGTATAACTACAACTAATTTCAATCATTTCAGCATGATCAAATGGACAAAAAAATGGAATTTCAGCTCTTAATTAATTCTGCATTAATTAATATACTAGCTGAGTTACCAAGAATGAGTAGTTTTATCTTTCAGTGCTTCAGCTTTCTCATCTATAAAATGAGAGAATAAGGTTAGATCAGGGTAGGCAAGGTTTGTATAAAAGGCCAGATTGTAAATGGTTTAGGCTTTGTGGGTCATATACCCTCTGTTGCAACTGCTCATGTAGTCTATTGCAACTACTCTGTGGGTCATGCAACTTCCACTGCCATACTCAATTCATATTACATTGGAGCATGAAAGCAGCCACAAACAATACACAACAAAGGAGCATAGCCGTTTTCTAATAAAACTAATTTATGAACACTTAAATTTGAATTACATATAATTGTCAAATGTCATAGAATATTCTTATTTTCATTGTTTTCAACCATTCTAAAATGTAAGAACTATTTTTAGCTTAATAGCTGTACACGAGAGGCAGGTGGTACTTGGCCTGTGCTCCTCAGTTTGCCAACTATGAGATGATCCTTAAGGTTCTTTCCACCCTTAACATTCTTGAATTTACTTTGGAATGACGGAAAGGTCATTTGGATGTTCCT